TGTGTCGTACCTGGCAGGTGTGTCGCTGTCGGTAGGCGAGGTATGAGTCGCTTGCTGCGTCCGACTGTCGTGGTTAGACGTCCGTAATCAGCGCCTGTAAACTTTATACGTACGTGTTTGTTCGTAAGGAGATAAATTTGAGCTGATACGTACATATACGTATATATTGTAAGGAATTGTTGGCTTGAACGATCACGGGAAGTTGAACGCGCTTGTTTATTTCTGTATCAGATTACATCAACGTCTTCTAACATCTGAGCCAGAGACACAGTCGATACATTGATACCGTTCTCCAAGCGGTCACTGCAAATGCACGAAAGTTCAGTAATAGAACACAATAAACAAGAGAAAAACACCGTAAAATTACTACCAATATACACGGAAGGCTAAACAATTACTCAACTGGCACCCGCGGTCAGTCACAGATCAAACCCTTCAAATATTACAAGTTTCATACCTTTACTGGCAATATCAAGCCAAATCCTTTCAATTTTGCACAATTTCTACTCGCACAGTCGACTTCCAGCCAGAAATGCCACTAAGCCTCAGCAGAACAGAACCGGTCTAAACCAGTCTCAAATTAACATACGACAATCCGCAAATTTGATTGGGCAACAGCAAAGTAAGCCTTCTTAGAAAGAAGCCCGCCTCACATTCAGTGTCAGCGTTATCGTCACGTTCTTGTTTGACCTTGAAATCGGCAGCAGCGGCTACACGACCGCGCACAAACGGTGCGCTCAACATCTCAGGTTCTCCACAATGATTAATGATTGATAATCCTAACCCTAACCCTAACCCTAACCCTAACCCTAACCCTAACCCTAACCCTAACCCTAATCCTACTCCTAATGGAGTATCACCCCCTACTTCATTTCATTATCCTCTGTTCCGCAGTACCTTCTCCAACCTTCTTACGCACCCTTTCCGCCCCCACATCCCCAACCCGTTCAACTCTCCCGTTTCTCATAACTATTTCCACTCTTCTATCCCACCATCTTTTTTATACTACTTACCTCCTATCGTCCTCAGCCTCCTTGCGTTTCCTGTCCTCATTCACCCCATCCCCACGCTTATTTTCGTTCCCACCTTTCTTCATACTTTCAGCACCATTTAACTTTTTTGTGCTCCGTACCCTGTCCGTACGAGCTCTCGCTTTCTCTCTTGCTCTCTCCCCCTCTCTCTCTCGTCCGTCCCCTACCATTTGTCTATCTCTTCACCGTCTCCAGCCCCGTCCTCCCGCTTCTTAGGCCATCTTCGCCCACCTCGCTAGCTCTTCTTCCCCAATCTCCCTTATACTCCCCAATACTCTCCCCCAACGCATTCGTCCCTCCGCAAGCCTTCCTCTTCCATGTTGACACCAGTCTCCTCCTGTGATCAAGGAAATCAGGATAACGCGAACGTTCAATACTAATATTCCTATTCGTTGACAAAGAACAGCTGAATCTGACCACGTAGGAGTGGCACGCCCCGTTAGACGCTCACTGCTATCCGAGCGTGGAGGTTCAAACTCCAGGCGTTACAGATATATTTACATAATTTGTAAAGTGGAATCACCGAGATGAGCAGAAGCGACGAGTATTACCCGCGGTATATCAAAGCGCTTGCAATGCATGTGCATGCACTCCCAAGAATCACGGTGAAAGTGCAGTCTCAGCAGACGATAACGGCTCTACACGGCCGCCGACAATGGGCGACGCGTGGGTGACGTTAACACACGATACAGGCTAGCTCTGTCTCTACTGTAGCGTAAGAAGTTTAGCATTTCTAAGCACGCTTAACTCGCCATGACCCGCCCCGGTACGTGCAGCGCAGCGGAAGTCTGGGTGGGCGCAACACGCCAAGGCATCATAAAATTTAATCTTTTGCTTTTCCTTTTTGAAAGGATATATTCGTCTACGTGCCCGAGAGGTGCGACACACACTTCCTTTGCATGCATATCCGTATCTGTGAAAGTTGACGACGTACTTACAATCGCAGAAGAAAGAATCAGGGCAGATCATGCGCGGAATACGTAGTGCGCGATAGAACGCTGAGAAAATGCGTGGATAATAGTTGATAAGACAGTATGCGTGTCCGGTACAGAAATGTCTATTTGAAAAGATTCAAGGCACGGTCGTTTTCCGTGGTGAGACAGAGCGGTCAGTGCAAGTTTAAAACATTGCAGCGGATTTATACGAGAAGCGCATTCTTACGATAAAATTTTTAGCATGATAAAATGCCTCTCTCTCTCTCTCTCTCTGTCCCATCAAATAATAGCATAATCTCTATTTTGTTCACTGGGCGAATCTTTTCATTATTGCAATGCGTAATCCCTTTCCCTCTCAAATCACCTCAAAATGTCTTGAGCCGCGGTGAGGTAATGTGTCCCTTGCATTATTATCTGTAGGCCGGACAGCAGCTATTGCTAACCGATGGTGACGTAGAGATGGTAGGGATGACATATTAAAGCTTTCTTTTTATTAGTACTTATATGCTTATCTATGTCGGCTATTCCAGTAGCGACTTAGCTATTTCCTACTTCCCATAGACTATTTCCACTTAGCTTTCTTACATTGCCATTATATTTTGCACTGGCAACAAAAAAAACATCTGGTAGTCGCCTTACAGAGTTGGGAATGATCAATGGTTATGCACTGAGATACGCATTGAAATGGTTTTGGTCGTTTCTCCATAAATATCGGACACTGGATACTCCTGCAGAAGAATTTGTAATGACCGTAAAAACTAAATAATTAAACAGACAAGAATGGATAAAATGTAAGAAAATAAATTATTGAAATTGCTGCAGACGTAGTAAGAAGCGGGAAACGTGTTTAATTCGTTGAAACATCGAAACACTCCCCGACAGTGAGAGAGACTGAGATGAACGCGTACTCACACCTTTTCCGCACCTACAGTTGTGATAGAGGAAGATTTATAAATCATATTTCCGTAAGCTCACGCAGGTATGTGGGCGCGATGACGATTATGACGATACGAAGACGTTACTACTGTAACACAGCAGGCATCTTATCTGATGCATACATCAAATCAGAAGTTAAAATGTAGTAAATGCATAATATTTAACCTCGTTGGTCGTGTGTCTCTGGATCTGATCACAAAACTCTCATGTGGCATTTTCATTCTATCGAAAACACATATGGGTTCAAGTAAATCTTCGTGCATTCAGAAATTTTTCAGTGTGCATATCAGTAATCAAAATAACGTATCGCAGAAGAAACATACTTTTAGCACACAGTACCCTACCTCTATCGTTTATCAACAACACCGTAGTGCAAGCTCGGAGCTCAATAAGAAGTTTTACCCGTCCAGTATGTGCTATCACGTGTAGAGGTATCTAGATTGTATTACACTTTCCTACGTACGATTGGTTTGTTGGTGTGGCATACGAATATAAGACTACAACCATAATTATTACCACAAATATAACCACTATTTTATCATATATAATCAAGAATTGATGCGCTTCTCCGATAATTCTATAACCAGATTTAACAAAGCTTCATTGTCCAAGAAAAGCCGTTGGTATTCAGCAGTACTGAGAATAAAGCAAAGCAATATCAATGTTACCACATTCTTTCTTAATGTTTCAACATGATTAACGAAATTCTCGTTTTTCATCCATCTCCTGAAGAATCCATTCATCGAATTCACAGAGAGGGTCAGTGTATCTACAGGGTTGCAAATTCACACTTAATTAATAGAAGTGAATAGATTTTTATGAAATGACACGGTAATATTTTTCATATTGAAAAGCGAATTATGTCTGACTACAAATCCATAGTCCTACTTGTTCACTGTTCTTACTTTCTTGGGAAATGAATATGAAAAAGTTTTTGACAATCACAGTGTTGTACATAACTGTTGTACATAACAGTCAAGATGCTTATCCCAAACTTACTCATAGCTACCTGAAATATGTGGTGTACATGAAATAAGTATACACAATAACGTGTACCTACATAGCATTTAGTTGTTATAGTCAGTCCATGATTAGGAGCTGTAAACCGCAAAAAACAGTTGGTCAATTCCGTTTTTATAAATCGCGAACAAGAAATAAAATTTAGCCAAACTCCCAAGGTTTCACTGGCAGCTAATCCTTACTAATGAATACAGAGAACCGTTTACGCCGAAGCAAACGACATAATAATTGCATAGTTTTTACTGAGTCATCATTAAATGACAATTAATACAAAGAGGTGAGCAACTACCTTTTACTAGCAGGAGCAGTAACCTTATATTGTGATACTGTTTTTATTTTGCATCCATGGTAGTTCACGAACTCGCGTTAAAAGCAGTAAACTAATTCACTCGACTATATAGATGGCTCTAGTTTTCTTTTTAATTATGCCCACACGTGTAAGCAGCACGGCAGTGTTACGCTTAATTTTAGATTCTGTCGAATAATATCATTGAATTTTGGCGAGCTCGTATTATATAAATACCACAGCAATATGGAAGAGTAGCTAAAACAAACAAGTCAGTGCCTGCACCAAACAATAGACGGGAACAATCGACAAGAGGAATCTATAGATCATGCAGACTATATATACCTAAATCACTGAGATGATTTCAAAACGGGTCGCGTAGCAAGATGAAATTGTAATCATAAGTAATCTATCTTATATTATATATAAGATGCCAATAAAGTCTTTTGATCGAACTAAATCCGTGGTGTCTTATCTGCTGCATCTTATATATATATATATATATATATATTTGTCGCGTCTTATATGTATGTTGTCCCTTATCACGCGGAGAACGAATGAATGATGTTATGTTATTACGAAATATATATTTCTTTTCGTTTATATTATACAAAAAGGTATGAGTTAAAGCATGTATTTAGCACCCGAAGTACCAAAACTGCTCGTAGCTTCCTGACGTACGTGTAACATGGAGCTACCTTATCTTACTGATGTGTAACCTGGAATCACCAAACTCTGCAATGACACTACCCCCCCCCCACGCGAGCTAGCAGGTTCTCGCAGGCGTAACGCTGGCACTATAATTGAAGCTCTACAACCCCCTACAGCTACATCTTCTATAGGTGCCGTCTTATGCTGAAGTTGTACCAAATACCAACACTGGAGTTGAAGGTTGTGGAGCAGAGGAATGAAGTAGAGAAGTGGATAAGGTAGATCAGGGAGAGAAGGCAGAAAAAGATGATAATGTGAATGATAAGGAGGTCAAGAACATTGAGAAGGTTACAGAGCTGGAGGAGAGGAAGAAGTCTGAAAGAAGCTAACAAGGGATCACAAAGACAGAGCAGGGGGAGATGGTAGGTGAAGGGGTACAGACGAGAAGGAGAAACTATAGAATGCTATATATATGTGTGCGTGCGCGCGCGCGTGTGTGTGTGTGTGTGTGTGTGTGTGTGTGTGTCTGTGTGCGTGCGTGCGTGCGTGCGTGCGTGCGTGCGTGCGTGCGTGCGTGCGTGCGTGCGTGCGTGCGTGAGTGTGTGTGTAAAGTTTGAAAACCTGTTTAGATAGAGAAACTATGTATCTAATTAATTTCAGGTTTAATTTTAATTGATGTTTACCGTTAGTCCGTTAAACATACTATTTCGTGCGTTTTTATCCGTGTCATGGCTATATAGCTAAATGTAATTCTATACACAAAAATATAGAGGTGCTGGCCGATGGAAGTGCATGGAAAGCAACGCTTACTAGAAGTTATTAGCGTTGTATCTATATTTATAGGTCTGCCATCCTGTCACGACATGAAGCCAATAATCTCTTTCTATTTATACAGACAACAATATTAAAATCGCATATCCTGACTCTTGTACAGACGGACAATGGCGTCTACAGATGACGTCTGAAGTAACAAGACATATTCACGGGGTTTTGTGTGAATATCAGCCGGGCAGGCTGTTTCCAGCACCCGCAGGCTGTTTCACCTACGTAATGAGATCTGTTATTAGAGACTAAATTAGTTTTCACACGTACGTGTATGTCGATGAGAAGAATATCAGAGCATGTGCCCAGCTTCTAAGCTAAATCTTTCCTTTCAACCCCGACTTTCGCGTAACACAAAGCCCAACTTCCAATTTTTTTTAAATCTGTCTTTTCAATAGCGGAGTGCAACGGCAGACGCAATTGGAATCCCTTTCAACGTACACATGTAAAAAAACCCAGATAATGCTAGATATTTTGCCTGTACCGCATCAAGTAATCAAATCCCTGCTACTCAGAAGTACATTACCTTAGTCGTTACATTATCCTTCCTTCGCAATCTTTGCGCTGAATGAAAAGGAATCGACCGAAGCCATCAGTTTCTCATAACGAAGGTGCGCTGTACAAGCATAATCAACACTATCAGCGTCGGAAATCAAATGAGGGATCACTACACACACCGTGCGAGAGAAAGCAGTCAGCCAAGTTTCAATGACAGGCAGTGCTATATCGCGCCATCAATAGATTTATTTTATTGATTCGAGTAACTCTCGGCGACTCTCAATGTGAAAAGAATGTATCAGAGCTGTAATCCTCTTTCTTAAACTAAATGTGGCTATTTTAAAGCATCTTCGCCGAAACAACAAAAACTCAAAAGCTTGAGGCCTACCCGACGGCTTTGTGGCCAACCATAATTAAGGAATGCACGCGCAGGTCTATTTTCGCTGATCAAGAACTTCGGAAAATCTCTGAGATGCACAGAAAGGTTGCTCGGGGAATATAAAGCTCTCTTTGAAGCAGCGGCTGCGAGGGTTTTTGCTTGCCTAAAGGAAGAAGCTGGGATCGGATATCAGGCTCAGCGAAGTAAAGGAGCAGACGCTTTGAGAACGTTAACTAATTATTATCAGCGGCGATACAGCCGATACACTGCGTCAATGCGTCGCTACTGACAGTAGAATCATTGCACCGTCAGCGACAGTCGTCCATCGAAATCGTCATATTAAGTTCGCATTTGTACGGCGCGCGCAGGTGAAGAATTCACGGCTGAAAGAAGAAGTCGTCGTCGCCGCATAAAGAGCGGAAAAAAGTAGGCGCGAGCAATTTGCGTTGCTACCGAGACGCCAGCATTTCTCCCCCATCTTTCTTATCGCATCACGCAAGAATAGCACGCAGTAGAACGACGAATCAATCAGAGCAACCTTGCGTACGTATACACACTAAATGCGTGGCAGAGATCACGGGCGATGCCGTATATAGCACGCACAAGCTCTATCAAACGTAACTGGGTATGCTACGCATCTTGCCTGCCCTGTCAAACTCTTTTTCACAAGCTAATATTGAACATTTTACCGATATACCGATTTAGTAAACGTGCTTTGTCGTGATTTCCAGTAAATGATTCCGATGACATGCAAGTCAACAACTAAATTCTACACCCTGTCTGTCTATACACGCTATACACCATAACTGTGTGTAGAAAGACCAAGTATAATAGTAGGCATATTAACTAAATTTAACTAACATAACTAGTATATTATATCTATGGCCCATGCGTTGTGAACTCACAGTTTACTCACTCCTTTTTCTCACAATATGTACACGGTATATTCTTCATACTGCCTACCCACAGTATACTTACTGCCTACTCACATCCTACACACCGTATCCCCTCACACACTGCCTAGTACCCACAGTCTACACACCGTATCCCCCACACACTGCCTAGTACCCACAGCCTACACACCGTATCCCCCTCACACTGCCTAGTACCCACAGCCTACACACCGTATCCCCCACACACTGCCTAGTACCCACAGCCTACCCACGGTATCCTACACACACACTGCCTACTCACAGCCTACACACGGTATCCTATACACACACTGCCTACCCACAGCCTATACCCACGGTATTCTACACGCTGCCTACCAACAGCCTACACACAGTATCCTATACACACACTGCATACCCACAGCCAACCCACGGTATTCTACACGCTGCCTACCAACAGCCTACACACAGTATCCTATACACACACTGCATACCCACAGCCTACCCACGGTATTCTACACGCTGCCTACCAACAGCCTACACACAGTATCCTATACACACACTGCCTACCCACAGCCTACCCATAGCCTACCCACGGTATTCTACACACTGCCTAGTACCCACAGCCTACACACAGTATCCTACACACACACAGCCTACCCATAGCCTACCCACGGTATTCTACACACTGCCTACCCACAGCCTACACACAGTATCATATACACACACTGCCTACCCACAGACTACACACACTGCCTACTCACAGACTACACACGGTATCCTGCACACACACACTGCCTACTCACTCTTATAGGGTCTATGTCCCCCATGGCACTGCCGGAACGAACCCTGGGTACGGTCCGGTATACCGAAACGTACCCTGGTCACTATTTGGTATGGTTAGGGTTAGGATTAGGGTTAGGGTTAGGGTTAGGGTTGGGGTTAGGGTTAGGGTTAGGGTTAGGGAGTAGGCGTAGGCGACTTCTTAGACTAGTTAGTGGAGCTAGTAGGCGAGGTACGGTCCGGCATATTAGATATAGTTCCAGAGTGTACGTTCCGGTATACCGGACCGTACCCAAGGTACGTTCCGGCAGTACCCTGGGGGACATAGACCCTCTCAGCCCTACTCACAGCCTACACACGGTATCCTACACACACACTGCCTACTCACAGACTACACACAGCCTACCCACGGGCCACGGAATCCTACACACACTGCATACCCAATGCCTACCCACGGTATCCCACCCTACACACGGTACCCCACCCTACACCCTGTACACACGGTATCCCCCCACACACACCCATCGACCCCTCCCTCCTATACACTGTCTACTCGCAGTCTGAACGTGCACTGTTGATCTGCGCTCGATGCTATATGTACCAATACTAAGTCTTCACATTGCGCATTCAAACTACACACAGCCTTCATACTGCCTACACATTGTATTGCATACGTACTACACATTGCCTACGTACTACACACATACATTATCTACACACTGGCTTAGCTTACACTGTCTACACATATAACAGATCAGCCGGAGTGGGGCCATGTATCACTTACTGAAGGACTCATTGTTACCACTGTTGCCTAACTAAGTTACGGAGATGAAGGAAATGATGCGAATTTACAAGTAAATCTCACGGACAAATACAATTACGACTGAACAGCTAACCAATGTGCATGCCTAACAGTTTACTCTAAGCTCGATGACATAAAAAACAATCACTCACCTTCAGGGGCAACAACTATAGATATAGATGAAGAGCTTCGGAAACTTGTCCCTGCAGGTCGTATGTCGTGTGTTCGCAGTGACGGATAATTGGCGCGAGTATACCTTCAGTTACACACCCTGTAACGCAAAATGATAAAGATGCATGAGTGAAAGTTATAAACACTGTCCATATCCGGTACTCTCTAATCTACACCACTTGACCCCAAATGTCGCACCATACATCGTCCAACTCATAACTTGGCGCATCTCTCTGCCAAGTCTCGCTGATAGTATTACACGATTTGGGTAAACAGCTTGCCAAGCAATCTTTTATTTTATTTTGGGAGTGGTTAAGCTGTTTTTTTATAACCACGAAATTTCACGTCTTATTTTCATGTCTCCTAGTTGTCTTATATATATATGAAGGCTGAATCAGAATTTTCGTTAAATGTATTTGTTAGAATAGCAGTTGTCGCGTTAGGGCTGGTCTTGGGACAGTAGAACCTATTTAACCCCATGGGCCCTGCGCCTACAGAAGGCCAACACCAATTACTTGTGGCCAATACTCAAAACCCTACCACCTTAGAACCAAGCATGTGGTTTGTTATTTTGAGCTAAAAGGCACAAATTAAAATTCTATATGTGACAAGAAATGCAGGCATGAAGCAGTAATTCAGCGTATCATGAAGATCTCTCGGATGGTTGAATAAATTGTACAGATCCCTATAGCATGCAAGGTCTAAACTATAGCTATATTCTATAAGGTCTATGCTATAGGTGCAGGGCTAAACGTCACCATGAAAAATATTTACAATTTTCCGTTGCCTTCCATCATTTTTTTATGATGGGGAATCTTATGAGAATGTTAAAAAATCCTAATTGGGGAAACAGTTCACCTTAGTAGGCAATAGTGATTAGCCAAATTACCTGTGCTGTACTGTGTTAAGTGAAACACAATAACGGAACAGGACACCCGCACGTACGCATGTATTGTAAAGGCAAGATGTAAGATACAGGAGAAGAATATGAACACTGACTAGCTTTCAGGTATAAGTATTGATAAATTATCCTCAATATGATTACTGACCATTTTAGCAACAAAAAAAGACGGATAGCTCTCTATATAGTCGTAGATAATACTAAGCATTTAAACCTAAACCTTGAAAGAATTATGAACCTTGCCCTTGTAACAATGTGGTTTTCAAATAACAAAGATGTTTACTGAAAGCGAGCTTATCGAAATTTTATATATCATAATTGAAATTCCGAACGTTTTACGGAAATGACCAAAATCCTGGTGATGCTTAAATTGATCAAATAACAGTACGATTACAAGGAAGAATAGTTGTTCACACCTTTTCTCTGCTGGAGGCGCATCACACTAGTACGGATAAAAGTGACGATGTTTAATCGATCACCTCATTAAATTGTGTTCTTAGAGAAGAAAAAATAATAAAACTTTAATAACAATGAGCTAAAATTCGTATTTCATCTAGCGTGGCAGCGCAGACAATGGCTGAAATACAAGAAAAATAGTAGCTAGCTATTAAATTATTACACAGCCCGGTGTGGTAAACACATCTAAAGACAACCAATACCGTTTACAGATAGATAGACGTGTCATAGCAACACCTCTTTTAGGTTGATTAGTAGATATCTATATGGTATATTGTGTATCAGATATCAATATAGTGTATTACTAGATATATCTATGGATTACAGCCCATGAGTAATAAAGAAATTGCATCCAAATGGAGACGAACGGTAAGTGCACTAAGAATAAAGAGCCAGTAATAAGTGTTTCTATATATTTGCCACTCATAAACCTGCAGAGTA